GCCAGCGCGCGCCGCCCGCCCTGCGCCGCCCCGCCCCGCGCCGCCGCGCGCACGCCCGCCCCGCCGCCGCGCCGCTCTCAGCTCGGGAACTTGCAGTACAGCGCGTACTGCAGCTCGTACCCAGAGAACCGGCAGTACTGCGCCTCCTGCTCCTCGTACGCGCTCAGCGAGCGGTACTTGCGCAGCTGCCGGCACGCGTCCGCCGCCGGGGAGTCCTGGGGGACACGATCACGTCACGCTTATGGCATCAAGCAACGAACAGAAGCCTCGAAATGGCACTGACCGGCGTGGCGAAGATGGTGAGCACGAACTTGGCGGGGCGGAAGGCGGCCAGCACGCGCGCTATCACCTCGTCGTAGCTGGACACGGGCACGTTGGACTCGAACGACACGTACGAGCAGGCCCTCTCGGGCGTTATGTGGATCGTCATGTAGCAACCCTGGAGAGAATGTAGGCAGAGTCTCAAAACATTAAATTTTAAAACAATTGTACACGTTTAAAGTAATGAGTTCAACTTACATCTTTAGCGACCCCGTTCATAGAGTAGCCGCAGGGGTCAAACAGGAAATCGTCTATGACCATTCCTGGTAATATTTTGTCTATGCCAGACTCCTGCAATGAACAATACATTGTTGTGTGAATTCTGAACAACACACAGAATATAATTAATGTATCAGTCAGTAAAGCGGGTTACTTTAGTGGCATACGCAGCATCGTGGGAATGTTCCCGGGTAAATATGTCCATGACCTGAGGATCGAGGTCGGACATGAGAATCTCAATGGTCTGGTCGGGCTCCCCGCGTCCCGACTCAGCTTCCTGCTGCTCTTTCTCCACCGCTGCCACTGTACCTGAAAATGCCGTTTCGATTGCCAATACAAAGTAAAATTCCATTTTACAAAGCACGCCTAAATCCTGTTCCACTTTCACTCACCTTCCAACGGCAGCAGGGTATACAAATACCAACAGTCTTTTTCCGGGCCCATGATATAGGCGCGCCCATCCCCGAAAAATGAATCCAGAAGTTTTACCTGAAAAAGATATTCGATAGAGGGCTACACTAAATGCGTAATGGCGCTGGTTTGCTGTCGTTTAAGTCGTCATTACAAGTATAAGCTGCTGTCCGAGATCCCTTGGAGGTTTCAGCCGCCAAGCGGTCACGTGTTCATGCCTTGAGATGGTACCTACTGCAGTAACAATTAAGTAAGTCGTGAATCCTTTTGCCCATCGACTCGGGAGATTTGATTATTTTATGACAGAAAATGTGGTATTTGCAGTTGCTTTATACTGCTTTATATTAAAATACATCGTAAAAAATCATGAAAACACCGATTTCTTTATTCACAACAGCTCTACTGTCGTACTTAAAGAAAACAATGCGGTATTGCGAATAGTTTCATATTACTAGACAGTGTTTACTGAACGTCGACCGTTGAAGTTGTCGTAGCCTAAAGGATAAGACGTCCGGTGCATTCGTATCTATCTAGCAATCCACAAGTGTTCGAATCCCGCTGGTAAGTACCAATTTTTCTAATGAAATACGTACTTAATTTCACGATTGACTTCCAGGATAAAGGAATAACTTCGTGCAGCAAAGATCAAACCCGCAAAATTGTAATTTGCGCAATTACTGGTGGTAGGACGTCTTGTGAGTCTACACGGGTAGGTACAACCACCCTGCCTGTTTCTGCCGTGAAGCAGTAATGCGTTTCGGTTTGAGGGGCGGGGTAGTCGTTGTAACTATACTGAGGCCTTAGAACTCATATGTCAAGGTGGGTGACGGCATTTGCGTTGTAGATGGAATAAAAACGTGATTCGAAATGTACTCGACAACGCAGATATTGGATGGATACAATGCCATCCATTGCCCGAAAAAACATGGAAATATTATGGAGAAACAATCCTAAAACGAGGGGGTGAGTTTGGGCCGATTGGCTTATGAAAAAGCTTTTGTGAGGGTGGTCGGATTTATATAGTGTTCTCGGCTGAAGACAGTTGCTTGAGTTTGAATATTACCTACGCTTAATTAAATCGATAGAAATCGGCGAGATAAGGATTATTCAATACTCCAGCCAGTCAAGGAATTTTATGTTTTTTTTTAATCTTACCCACTATTAGCAACATCGAGGGGTTATGTTGGGGCTTCAGCGAATGTATAAGTTATTTTTGTACACTTTTTGTTTGATTTATTTTTTATTTTTTTATTGCTTATGTCGATGGACGAGCTCACAGCCCACCTGATGTTAAGTGGTTACTGGAGCCCATAGACATCTACAACGTAAATGCGCCACCCACCTCGAGATATAAGTTCTAAGGTCTCAGTATAGTTACGACGGCTACCCCACCCTTCGAACCGAAACGCATTACTGCTTCACGGCGGAAATAGGCGGGGTGGTGGTACCTACCCGTGCGGACTCCCAANTGTTAAGTGGTTACTGGAGCCCATAGACATCTACAACGTAAATGCGCCACCCACCTCGAGATATAAGTTCTAAGGTCTCAGTATAGTTACGACGGCTACCCCACCCTTCGAACCGAAACGCATTACTGCTTCACGGCGGAAATAGGCGGGGTGGTGGTACCTACCCGTGCGGACTCCCAAGAGGTCCTACCACCAGTGACACTTTTATTTTCACTTGTGTCACCGTTCGTAATCTCGGGTCAACAAGTGATTGTGTAATCATGTCGCACGCACTAACTAACCCGTGTGTGTTCTTTGAATGTTTATGAAAGCAAGCGTAGATTCCGCGAGTTTAATGAGACAGTTCGCGATAAAGGTCATTGTTTCGAACGTCTCATTACTATCATTATATTTATACATACACACACACATACATTTTCCTTATTTTATTCAGCGATAATACCACACTTAAATATATCGTATTCATCTTTGTAGATCGTAATAAGTTCATTGGGTCGTCGAGATATTAAACGAGGCTGCTTGTGATTTGAAAATAGTTAAACTGCCTCTAACCATTTACTGGTTGGTTAGCCTTGTGAGCGCGCGCTTGTTGGTCCCAAATTTGCCTATATATACCACGTAATGCGTTTCGGTTTGAAAGGCGGGCCAGCCATCACCAAAAGCGCTAAATAAATAAAAAACGTGAGGCCACATAATCAAGGCTTGGACTTAGGCTCAAGGCGTTCACTTTGTAATGTCGATGAGCTCTCGCGATAACTGACTTCAGCAATTCCAGGAGCAGAGCCAAATCGTTGCCTACCACTAAGTACTTTCCACAAGCCTCTTTTGAAGAAGGACATGTCATAGCGCTCGGGAAACACTGTGGAGGGGAGCTCATTCCATAGCCGGATGGTACGTGGCAAAAAAGACCTCTGGAATCGCACTGTGGATGAACGCAGCGGTTCCAAATAATCTAGATGAACTCTGCTCCGATGGCGGGAGGTATGAGAGGCTATTCCAGCTACGCCCGGACGGGTAGGTGAGCTTACGGGCTCAACCTGAGAGAATTTGCTAACACTAGCCCTAGCAAGAGCAGCACTTCGCATAATCTACTACCGAATCGGAATCGCGACCCACTGAGAAGATCCGACGAGAAACTCGGTGGGCATAGTGTCTCGTGTGTGTCTTTCTCGGAATGACAGTGTCTCGTGTTTTTACTGGTTGTAGGACCTCTTGTGAGTCCGCGCGGGTAGGTACCATCACCCTGCCTATTTCTGCCGTGAAGCAGTAATGCGTTTCGGTTTGAAGGGTGGGGCAACCGTTGTAACTATACTTGAGACCTTAGAACTTATATCTCAAGGTGGGTGGCGCATTTACGTCGTAGATGTCTATGGGCTCCAGTAACCACTTAACACCAGGTGGGCTGTGTCATCCACCCATCTAAGCAATAAAAAAAAGGAAATATAATGCGTTTAATGCGTAGGCCAATGGGTACAGACCTCTGAATCAAAGTTGTCGTGCGGTTTGAGCTGGACTTCGGGACGGGCGAATTCTCTCCTGGAGTAGAACACGTTGTGCACGCACGAATGGCCCGCCACGTCCTGTGCGAGAGCCAGCACAGCGCGGACGCACCGTAGCGGGGTGGTGGTCCCGCATGTCTTCAGTATCCAGCGTCTTCGTGAAACGAACATGCTGCTCTCACTGAAAACAAAAAAAAATACTTATAGATATACATCCAAAATAATGAACTGAGATTTGACTTGACTGAACTTTGAGATTTTGGAATGTTAGACACTTTAAATTGTATACTTCTTCCAACTAAACACTTTATTGTGTTATGTCCCATACGCACTCTGTTTTCACATCACTGTCGAAGACAATCTTCACATATCATACAGTCTCAGGATAAATTTTTTGCAAAATCTACTTAGTAAATACTTTAATAAATCTACAGAGGGTCCCAAAAAAATCCTTGCCACGCACTATAAGCAGTTTAGCTGTACATCTGGTACGTCTAAATATCCCAGTTCCTCGAGCTTATGTTGCTACTACTTCAACCACGCGGAGGGCAACTTAACTTTTTTCCCTCAACTCCGATAGCGGGGTTGGTACCGATAAGGAAGATGACGTCACATTGTAATAGACAGTGCAATATAAGCAATCACTAGTGACGCGTCTGCATTAAATTTTATTGTAATAATAAACGTGCTGTTTCCCGTTTGAATAGAACAAGATAATAAATAGTATCTTCATATTTGTTAATAGTTTTATTTTAAGTAACATTATCGCACTGCCCCTGATAAAACAGGGCGTCAAAGGTCAATTCTTATTGGCTCCAGGATACAGACGAAATAGGGACGGTAAAAAATAATATTGAATACGTATGTACTGTTGCGACATTTACAATGACCTGTTTATGAGAAGTTTATCTTCTATCTTCTATATACATAAAAATGAATTGCTGTTCGTTAGTCTCGCTAAAACTCGAGAACGGCTGGACCGATTTGGCTAATATTCGTCTTGAATTATTCGTGGAAGTCCAGAGAAGGTTTAAAAGGTAGATAAATATGAAAAAAATTCGGAATTAACTAAAAATTTGTTTTTCCTTTGATTTGTACCCCGTCGGACATATTCCTTTTGCTTGTTTTAAGTTTATTTTATACAAAAGCTTGGGTATTTTATTTATCGATTGAGGCACTACGAAGTCTGCCGGGTCAGCTAGTTTGGAATAAATAATGAACGGGCTTTTTAAACGCGAATTGTGATCGCGTTAATCTTTGTTATAAGTAAACATTGTTTAATTATTATAATTATGTAGTGCTTCCCGACATCGCCGCATCATACCCAACGTAGGATGCGTAACATTAGAGATATCTCGTGAACACGAAAAGTTTTTGTTGTCTTTATATCAATTTTTTTTTTTAATAAGTCAAAGTCCAGATCTTTTTTTTTTGCTTGGCCCCAGTATTTTTATCTAAGAACCGGTTCGGAGCGTATGATATTTTTTTTTTTAAATTACGTACATATTTTAGTTCATTAGATTTACGAGGTTCGTTGCGTTTTTCATTAAGAATTTTTCAGTATTTTTTTATTGCTTACATGGGTGGACGAGTTCACAGCCCGCCTGGTGTTAAGTGGTTACTGGAGCCCATAGACATCTACAACGTAAAAGCGCCACCCACCCTGAGATATAAGTTCTAAGGTCTCAGTATAGTTAGTTACAACGGCTGCCCCGCCCTTCAAGCCGAAACGCATTACTGCTTCACGGCAGAAATAAGCGGGGTGGTGGTACCTGCCCGTGCGGACTCACAAGAGGTCCTACCACCAGTAAGATAAATTTTTTTTAGCTTTATTCTGACAAATTATATATTACACACTAGTAATCTTTTCGCGTTTTTAGCGAGAGCACTTTGTACACGTAATACGCAGGCATCCAGTCCTTGATTTGGGAACGAAAACTAGTCCGGTACTTATTCGAAGTACTTATTTGGACACGATCGGCAGAGCCGGTTCTAGCACGCAGAAGGCCCCAACAAAACTGACTGGCGACGCCTAATAATTTCATTGTAGCTTTTAAAATTCAAAAACACTTAATTGTGTTTGAAGTATTATTCATAATTCGTATTGTATTTCGTTTCATTGGGGCATGCTTGTTTTTTTTTAAACCTATTCACTGGTAGCTTCCCGCGGACTGGTAGGCGAACCAACCCGAGAGAATTTCCTAACACTAACCCTAAGAAGAGCAGTGCTAAGAAGAGAAGAGCACTGAGAAGATCCGGCGAGAAAGTCACTTGGTTAAAACTTATATTATTATTTAAATGTTAATTCTACGCTAAATCACACATCGCTTAATATATTTCAAGTATATTTATACACTTATTTACAATTTTATAATACCTTTAAAGACTAAGTTTACAATAAGCGATATGAGCGATATTCGACCACGCACGGGTACCACCTCCCTGCCTTTTTATGTTACTGAGCAGCTATAGTTAGAATTGGAGGAAGGCTTGGGACAGCTGTAATGTTACACACACATTTGATATTAAACCTCGTCTCAAGATCGGTGACGGAACTCGCATATCTATGGGTTTTAGTAACCAGATAACACCAGTTGGAGGACGATCTCGTGCAGCCGTCTGTGAATTAAAAAAGGAAGGTATTTTTTTCACTTTTTGGAACGAAGTTGCTTATGGGACGATGCGGAGGGGTACCCTAACCGGGAAAAAACGTCCGTAACGTAAGATTTTTATTAGTAATGCACATAGTGTACGACTTAACTTTGTAATAACGTACAAAAAAGAACATATTCTTTTATCATTCATTGACCACGATCTCAGAGCGTTCGTTTGCGCAATACACTAACTATTATGCAAACAAACGTGAATGAAGTGTACCACGATAAGTTCGAACGTTACCGAATGACCGTGGGTTGTTGCGAAACCTCCAGTTTTATTTTCTTTATACCTCGAATAGAACTTATAATTTTATAATAAGGATTTTCTAAATTTCCCGGTGTCCCACGACACCACACATCTTTTTTTTTATTAGAAATGCATAAGAATTTGATTAATAGGCCAAATCAAATAAAAGCCTGAATTCGTTAATTCGCCGTTCCATCCATATGACCTTCTCATTCTAAGGTCATCGCTACATTACTTTCTATATTCCAATACTTCAGATCGAGGTTACTTACAGAATTTTTGTCACTTTTATTATAAATTAAGCACGCCCAGAAACTGGATGGATTCTCGTGTTTCCTGCTGCTAAAAATTTTGCAAGTTTGTTTTATAGCTTTTTCTATGGCACGTAATGTAACACGATTGAAATCAGCTGACGCGCGATGCCAGTGACCTTGCGCGGCGCACAAGATTATGGTCCCGTTTAAAGAATGGATTCTGTAGAGCGAATCAATATTAATATTGTTTTGTTTATATTGATTATTATTATTTTCCGAAAGGTATACCGTTTTACAATAAAAACTGGGACTTCGGCCTTAGACCCGAGTCTCAAGATTTAGGCCGGCAGGTAGCGTCTACGTTGTCTACAAATTCTGGCAATACCTATGGTAAATATCGACCAATACCACATTAATCATCCGTTGTGACTATGAAAACTGTTAAGTATACGAAACGTCAGAAATAATTACATATAACGTAATTAACAATCGCGAGATTCAACTGTAAAAATAGTTTTAATTAGGTAGATATATTTTCATTATAATTTCGATTTTGAGAGCGCTTTCCTAAAACCGTAAAACCGTTTTGAACTGAAATTAGCATATATATGTCGGAAATGGTCATTCATTTGTACCGGTCACCGTTGCGACGAAGGGCTCGACGAGTAAATTAACCCTCAGACACAGCCCACTGAGTTTCTCGCCAGATCTTCTCAGTGGGTCGCGTTTCCGATCCAGTGGTAGATTCTGCGAAGCACGGCTCTTGCTAGGGTTCGTGTTAGCAACGTCGTCAGGTTTGAGCCCCGTGAGCTCACCTACTAGTTAAGGTTACGCTGGAATAGCCTCTCAATCAAGGCTACCAGCTTAGGTCGGAAAAAAAAAACATTTGTTTAGTAGCTAAACGAAACGCAGCATGATTCTCGAGAGATGGCAGCACGATCGCGGTATCGTCGGAACTCTGCTAGCTTCGTGCTACGACAGAGCCTAACCGATGGAGGCGCGTAGACGCCATCACACTTACCAACCAGCCTTCTTGAAGAGCTGGGCCTCCGTCCTAAGAACTATCATCTGTTACGTCTGCTAAGCTCGACCACCACATTCGCCTCTACGGATATCTGACGATGGTGTTAATATCTATGTTAATATCTGTTAATAATTGTGGCTTCTCCGACATATATAAATAAACGTGATAATGAGATAATATCATATCGTGGAGTTATTTCCATGAACGCCGAGAGTTACGAATGGAGATTCAATAATTTTACTTTATCTTGACCGTCAGGTACCAAGATAACGACCGAACTCTGCTAACGAAGATCAGGAGTTGGATTGACCTACTCAAATATCAAAGCCTTTGTCGTTTTCCTATTAGTATAATAGCTTAGTCTGTACTATTATCCGAACTACACCTAACCAATACAGTATAATGGCGCAGTTTTAAAAAAGAACAGACACCATTTGCAAATCTTTACAGACCATGCATAATGAAGTATGTTCACAAAAAGATTACAGTCCACCTGATGGTGTTTTTTTTATTGCTTAGATGGGTGGATCAGCTCACAGCCCACCTGGTGTTAAGTGGTTACTGGAGCCCATGTGCCACCCAACTTGAGATAAGTTCTAAGGTCTCAGTATAGTTGCAATGGCTGCCCTACCTTTCAAACCGAAACGCATTACTGCTTCACGGCAGAAATAGGCAGGGCGGTGGTACCTACCCGCTCAGACTCACAAGGTGTGGTTAATTTAGCCAATGGATGTCAGCAATGCCAGGGGCAGAGCCAACCAGCTGCCTACCGTTAAGTACTCTCCATTCTTATACATAAACTCCATTCTAACACTTTGCTTTCGTAATTTCGGTAGTCCGAAAATGAAATTAATTATTCATAATATTTTTTATTTTTATTTGATTGATTATGGTATGAGTGTACGAAAATTGGAGCAAAAATGATAAAATATTCTAATCAGTTAATTGTTAATGACAAATTACAAAGTGTGATATCATTTACCACCAACTTTTACTAAA